TCAGTTTGGAAAGCTGCATAAGTAAATGCTCTAAACAAATTGAAGCATCATCTGGCTCAGTTAGGAATTTCCAAATGGTAGGAAGCATATAGAACAGTTCAAACCTTGCCTCTAATGTTCATGCTATTAACGTAATTTAGAACAGTGACTAAAGTAGGCTTGCCTTGGGAAATTAAGGATGATTCACCTTTTTCCAGGGATGCAGTACTGCCATGCATGGAATTCACTGGTACAATAGCCAGTTAGTGTGTATGGCCTCTGTAAACTTGGCATACTAAGCTACTGTTTTGTAAAGTTTGCTGTATGACACTTGTGTAAGTATTGCTGTATGCTCTACAGATTTGAGCACTCTGTGCTTCCCCAGCAATTCTATGGTACTCTGTACTATTAGCATGTCCTGGAAAAGACTTTCTTCTCTGAGTAAGCTGCCAGCTGGCCAGTAGCTGATACACAGGCATTAGCTGCCACTGGGGAAAACCAGGGTGAGTTTAGTCATCTGGAATACTTTGGCACAATGAAGTGCTGATCCCCTGGTGAACGGCAGTATGTCTAGATATAGTAGTGTTATTCTACCAGTTAAGTGCCAAAGAGCCAAGTGTTCCAAAGTAGACTTAAAGGAAAGTCAAGCATCTGGAAATAAACTGTGTTGAGATGAGGTGGTGAAACCCTGCTAGAGAAAAGGAAGTTTATAAATGAGGTAAGCCTGCCAAATACTGTGTTAAATGTTACAGCACTGGTGTGTGGCACAAGAATTTTTGCTCATATTCTTATCAGGTTCCTGAATTTGGTTAAAAATGAGCTTGATGATCTGGAAAAGGCATGTCTCACTGTTAGTCCTTTTCTCCTGAGCATGTTCCCAGCAGGGACACTATTAGGTATCATGTTCCCCAAATGAATGCTAATGTAATGACATCTGAACATATTGTAACAGAAATTTCATAATGTAGTGGGAGTTAGTCATAGAATCATAGAATAGTTAGGGTTGGAAAGGACCTTAAGATCATCTAGTTCCAACCCCCCTGCCGTGGGTAGGGACACCTCACACTAAACCATGTCATCTTATGCTGCAATTTATCTGAATTACTTACTTTCTTATTTTGAAGAATATATGCGTATTACAGAATCAATACCTTGAGCCATGCTTGTTGATAGAGTTGTTTTTAATGTTCATGTTACCATTCAGAAAGGGGAAAGAAATAAATATGTAAAATAATTTCTGTTTTCACAGTGAAGGTGACTGACAGGCCTACAGGAAGATACAATTTTTCAGAATGCTTTGTGTGTTAAATATGGATCCTATAATGTAAGAGTTCTATAATCTCCATATATCAGTCTGGGCCTTCTGCATAGTTACAGCTAAAAGAAGTTCACAGAAGAATCCAACTTCAGTTTGTACAAGTAAGTGGTCTGCTGTAATACAGCATGTCAGATAATGTAGTCACATGTCTGAAACTATAAAACTCTTATTTATCACTAGACTTACAGGGAATCCATAAAAAACTTGCTAAGTGGAAATAGTATTGTGAAGTTTCATCTGAATTTATCAGGCCAGTTATCTCTCTTAACATGGGAGAGAACTGTGGAGCTCTGTTGAACCAAGGTGTTTTCTGAAGAAGTTTCCTCCCCCTTCATTACCTGGTGGGAACATGAAAGTTGTGATCCAAATGATCTGCAAGGTAGAGAACCCTTAGGGTGTTACCTTAGGAGATTTTTATTTTTTAATCTTTTGTTTGTTTGTTTTGTTTGCTTTTTTGGGTGATTGTTTTTTTTTTTTTTGTTGTTGTTTTTTTTTTAATTTGCTTTCATAGAATATAGAATCATGGCATAGTTAGGGTTGGAAAGGACCTTAAGATCATCAAGTTCCAACCCCGCTGTCATGGGCAGGGACACCCCACACTAAACCATGCCGCCCAAGGCTCTGTCCAACCTGGCTTTGAATACTGCCAGGGATGGAGCATTCACAATTTCCCTGGGCAACCCATTCCAGAGCCTCACCACCTTACTGTGAGCAGTAAAGAACTTCCTCCTTATATCCAGTCTAAACTTTCCCTGTTTAAGTTTCAACCCATTACACCTTGTCCTATCACTACAGTCCCTAATGAAGAGTCCCTCCCCAGCATTCCTATAGCCCCCCCTTCAGATACTGGAAAGCTGCTATGAGGTCTCCGTTCAGCCTTCTCTTTTTTTTTGTTCCTTTTCATTTAAAATTAGACTATACTGAGGTCATATGCATAAAGGAATATTTCTCAATTCATTTTTAAGTAGGCAGATAAGATAAAACCTATATATAGTTAAGACTACAGCCAGCTGCATATCATCCGCTTACCTTTGATCCTATGCTATAGAGATTTACGCATGGGTCATATGCAAAGATAATCCAACTGGTGCTGACAGCAGGTCACCTGCTGCCCTGGGTTTCAGGCCACTGCTAAAGAAGCCTTGGTAAGGGATGATGGAAATCAGACGTCAGCTTCTTCTCAGAGATTACATGCAGAGAAACTGGAGCTCCCTGCACATATTGAAAGGTTATCAATCATGTCTGAAATATCTGGTATCTTGTACAGGAACAACAGAATTATGTTCAAAAGATGGTGGCATTTTATTTTCTTTTGTACCAAAATACTGGCGTGTCTTTTCATCTGGAAACTTTATTTAATGCTTGATGAAATCTGAAGGGGATTTTCTTACAGATGCATGATTGTTTGACAAAAAATCTACACAGAAAAGAATAGGGGAAGTCTGGGCTGTTATAAGTAATATTTCTTGTCTAGTCAGATATCCTTAACATTATTACTCCGTACTTTATGCACGGAGATTCTTCTGTATGGGATAAAACTAGAAAGCAGAATGCTCTGAAAGATCATCCTTATCTGTCTTTGTCCCCTTTATGCTTGCACAACAAAAGCTTAAGAGTACGTTAGGAATAAATGGCAGTAATGTACTGATGGGAATACTTTTATTCAAAGTGGACAATACTGGCTGGATAAAGCCCGGCACTTAAGAGTATGAAGCCAGTTGATTAATCCTTAGGTTTTCTCTTTCTCATGTGTAACATTGTATGCACTTTAAAGTCTAGGACGGTGGTTTGAAAATAATGGTAGTTCTAATGCAATAAAGATTTATCAAAAGGTGTGTATTTGCAGGTAGGAAAGTGGCAACTACCAGGATGTACTAACGTATAAAATAACTTTCTAGCATTCAAGGAATGATGCTACGGAAATGCACCTTGAGGAAAAACTTTCTGAGAAGTTTTGGGAATATGGGAACAAAGCTGGGCCAAAAATTCAGCATTATCCTTTTTTGCTTTGCTGGGGACCTTCTTTCAGAGTCTGAAAGCTCTACCTCCACTCTACTTCCTGCCCTTTTTTTTAAATTAATTTTTTCGTTCTTCTCCTCTTAGATGTGTCATCTGGTTTTCAGTGTTTGCTTCTTTTTCCAAGGATACAATATTTGCAATTTTGACAATATTGTACAATTTGTTAAAACATTTCTAGCAACTTGTGTTCATCTGTAGAAATGCTGTTGGCTACCAGTATCCTTTGCTTTTTACCATTGCCTGTCCCAGTGCTGATAGCTTGCTGTCTTTCAAAGTTAATAATGCTTTCTTTGAAGAAAATGATGTGATTGAACCTACCAGCATTTTATAATTGATGGCTGTATTTTTCCATATTCTGTGTAGTTATTCCTGTACTAGCTACAGTATTCGTTACCCTTTTGGATCCCAAGCTACTATTCATAGAGAAGACAAGAATCTGCACAAGAAAACACATGGACTTGATTAATATCCTTAATTACACTGCACTGAACCAAAGGGCAATATTTCTTACTGGCTCCTGTTAATAATCAGTTATGTCTCGAAGTACTTGGATCAATAATCTTTTTTCTTTTTTTTTTTTCTTGGGCACTATGCTTATTGTATTAGTATGAAGGTATTAGGATGAGGAAGGCTGCAAATGTTAACTAAAATCCTTCAGAAATTTGCTATTGATTTACTGAAACTTTGTCAAATTGAAGAGGTTCAAACAGCTCAGCACTTGGCATTTTTTTAATAGAATATTTCTTAGAGGATATTGGCCAGCTCTGCTGAGTGCAGGAAAATGCTTAATATGGGCATGTCTTCAGCTCTTGCTGTTTGTCTGGTAAGGCAAACTTTGTGCTAGAGCAGCTCTTTGCTTAAGCAACTGCAACCTACCAGGAGCACGCTTCTATTGTAATTTAGATACAGCATTGTATCAACAGCGCTCCAAGCTGGGACAGCCTGTATGTTGTACCCACATAGAGATATGATTTAAACTGGATGTCATTTTGTGTCAACTATGAATTCCAGGTTAAATGTGTGGTAGTCAGCAGTCTTCTCTGTATGCTTAGTGATGGCTTCGTGCTGCACTGTGTCTCCTTTTCTTACTGTTCATCCTGTGTTTTGTCATTAGATTCTCTATACCCATTGCAAAGTGAAGTATTAATGTGATGTGTCCTTAATTTCTTTGACAGTCTTATGGAACCAGGGTAATAGTAATACAGGATCGAACTTCTAAAGGTTTCAGTTCACCCACATAACTTTGAGTAGTGTTGCGTGTCTGTGTATATGCAAGTTTGAAATTGTCCCAGCACTGAATTATTTAACTATATCCTCAGTTCGTACCTGTAACTGTGACCTGACTGCAGCCATAACAGTGGCGACAGGCTGCACTTTGCTCCCTGCAGTGTGAAATCATAAATGCAAAATCTCGTATTGCTGTTAGTTTTGTAGAGAGTGGGGGAAAAAGAAATCCCTAAAGTGGAAGCAGTAGGATGTGGATAACAGATTTTAATTGCTGCTTTCTCAGGGAGTCTGTAGTCTGGTTAAAACAGATTTTCCTGCTGATTCACATGAAAGAAGAAAACGTTTTAAATATTGATGTGCATGTGAAGACTTTCTAAAGTGCCTAGATGGACCTCTCCAACTGTGTTTTTCTGATAATGTTTGTTGTGTTTTTAATGAATGGCAGCCACTGGGCTCCAGTCAGGGCCGCCATCCCTTCTGACCATTGCTGGTCCCCAGGCAGTGTGGCTGTCTGTTCTTCCTGCTGGCACCAGAGTACCTCAGGTATGTCACTAACATAAAACCAGAACGTATAAATTATTTTTTTTATAAGTCTTTTATTGAAATATTGACTATTTGAATATGAAATATTTCATTTGAGCCAGGACAAAAGCATTTTATTTTCAAACCATGAAGATGCCCAGCGACCGGGTTCTTGAAGGTAACTGAAGCAAAAAGAATCATCAAAATGCTTGAAGTCTATTATTTCAGTTTTACAGTTTTTTAAAGATTTTACGACTGAAAATATGGACTGATTTTTCATTTTTTATTTTTTTTTCTCCTGACTTGAATTTACAACTTATTTGTCAGCCCAGGACACACTAGCCAGCCTTCCTCCTCGCAAATTGCCCAGCTCTTTAACCATATGATTTCAGCAAGACAGCCACCTCAAGGCTTCTTGGTGTTAAGACATTTAAAATAAGTTCAAAGGGTTAACATACAGGACAAGAGGAAGGCTATTTCTGTATCTGAGATTTCAGTGGGTATGATTTACTGCGAACAGAAGAGCATATCTCAAAAGTAATCTCGTTATCTGTCTCTGCCTGCAGAAAAATTTATGGTGATGTAAGAATATCTATAACAGCACAATTTACATGGCACCTTTTGGCTGATAAGAAATAACAGTCTCAAAATGACTAAAGGGATTATGATTTTTAGCCTCGTTATCAAAAATAATATACTCATAGAATTGCTGACATTTTTCTGTTTTGATGCTTTCACCTAGGTGTTCACTATGTGTATGTCATCACCCAAAATAATAATATAAATGCAAGCCTTATAAGTTTGCTGGTTGAGTTTTAATGTTGTTTTGGTTTAGCCTTTTTTGGTCTCTAAATTATTTTGACAACTTCATGTATTGTTTTTTAACACACTTGAAGAAGAATGTTTGCTATGTGAGTCATATCAGTCTGATATAATTGGCAAAATGAAGTGCAAAAAAGAGAGAAAGGTAATTTCAAAAGTATCAGTGGTACGTTCAGACTGAAATCCTATTGATATTTGCCCAGACCTCAGGCCCTAAATGTCCAGGTTTTCTGAGTAAGTGGCACTTGAACATCTAGGATGCTTAAATGCTCAGTACTGTTTACCTCCTTTGCTCTGAGTTCAGCTCAGGTATTTTAGATATGAAAACCTAAATCTTTATTAATGCAAATTTAGTATAGTTAAGATGGCTTGAAATTTATTTTATTTTATTTTATTTTATTTTATTTTATTTTATTTTATTTTATTTTATTTTATTTTATTTTATTTTATTTTATTTTATTTTATTTTATTTTATTTTATTTTATTTTATTTTATTTTTAACTGACCACTTTATTAAGATACTTTTGGAGAGGTTTCTGAGGTGTCAAAGGGGAATTCTTTTATGGAAAGTAGGAGCATTTGGAGTTGTATGATGGCCCGCTATTAGGGCACTCACATGGCAGTGGGAGTCCTTGATTCGGTTAGATGCTCTTCCTCAAGGCAAGCAACCCAGCCCAGCTTTCCTGCTGTGGAGGGGAAATATTTTTATCCCAAAGCACTTGATTTGGGGACTGTCTCTGTAACAGTTTTGGGGGGAGAGGGTGTTATTTTTTTTTTCATTTGGGGATGGGGGGAGAGGAAAAATGTGATGGCCAAGAACACTCTGCTTTTATGGCTGTCCTTTTTTATCTAGATACATATATTTTAATCCATAAACACTAGACTTTTGCCTCCTATTCTTCTCCTAGTATCAAGAATTATATAGGGGTTCCCAATGAAATGTCTCTTGCACTTTAATAGTAAGGAGATAAAATGCTAACCTATGTCCATCTACCCCACATACACAGCAAAGCCATACTTTTTTTTCCCAAGGTTTTATAAAAACATCCATTATGTCTTTATACTTCTGTATTCCAACATCACTTTTTCACTAAGTTTTCAGTGCTGTGACTCGACTACTGCCGTTCAACAATTTTGTGTGTCCTCAGGTGATACATCCTTCAAAAAGGCAATTGTAAAGATCAGTTATTATATCCTATGTGACCTTTTGGTTTATCATTTTAAATGACCTGCAGCAGACCCTGCCTGAGGCGTGCAGTTATTTTGTGGCATAGCAGTTTCAAATGTCAGTATCTGTTTTCATTCTGCATGTATTTTGCATGTAGTTGTTTGTTAGCTTAGGATAAAGCATAACGTGGATATTTCTGTTGATAGACAAAGATGGCAAAAACCTTGTTGGCTGGCTCCACATTAAAAAAAAAAACAACTGTTATTTCCAATGTGGAAATGCTTGAAGTTTTTCCTCTTTGGGTTTTTTTTTGTTTCTCCTTTTTTTGTGTGTGTGTTTTTTGTTTGTTTGTTTGTTTTCAGTGGGTTTTTTGTTGTGTGGGGTTTTTTTTGTTTGTTTTTTTGTGGTTTGGGTTTTTTTTTCTCTTTTTGTTTTCCCTCAGTGGGATCCTCAAATTACTATTTTCCATTGATCTTCTGTTTTCCTCCCAGAGGTAATTATTTTTCTACAAATCACTGTATTACTAACATGTAAATTCATCTGTCTGGAGAATGCTTAAGCCCTCAAACCAGAGAAGAATGCATTCAAACACACAGCTAGTGACTGTAGGTTTGTGGAGCTCTCTTCCTTTCAGTTGCTGTATGCTGTTTGGATTAAGTTACATTTCTTCTGTATGAATATACTGATCTTGTTCATACTTCTGCTTTTCTTCACCTGAAGTACTGAACCTGTCATGAATCTATTCCTTTCAACTTGGAGGTTTCAAAATGTAGTGCAGGAACATCTCTGTATGTACCAGTTTGTTGGTACTTGATCCTGTTCAGGGAATCAAAACAACAATGTATGATTATTACTTTTTTTTTAACTGGCCGCCTAATGAGTATCTTAGAAACCCAAAACAAAGCACCCTAACAACATCAACGAAAACCCCACAAAAAAAAAAACCGAACAAAATCCCCACTACCAGTTGGCAATAATCCCCTTAGAACAGTACCTGCTCTTGGGCTCCAGGACAGTTATTTGTGAAGGCATGGTCTTAGAAACCTGCAGTCTTAATTTCTAAAATTTCTTTTTACTCTGTTTTTCCTTTTTTGCCGTGTTTGTGTACAAATTCTTAGAACTTAAAAAAAATACTATGCCTCTCTTATAGCAAATAAAACTTTTATTTTTTAATAACTTAATGTGTAGAAATGTTTACACAAATTATTTTGGGTCTGCCTAATTTATAATTAGCTAAAACCCTTTAATAATCACCAAAGAGACTTGCATGCCTTTTTGTGGAGAAAACGCTGCAAACACTAAAAGGTTTGGGGTTTTGGGGTTTTAATATCTTTGCAGAAAAACCCTTAGAGTAGGTGAAAAGGCAGTGTAAGACTCAGAGAAGGTCATTAACGTTTCCAATTTAAATTGATTCCAAGGAAATTATATGCTAGAGGAAAAAACACAATAGATGAAAAGTGTCCTAGATGGCAAGAAAAGATGAATGCTGTATGTTTTCCCCACCTCGCATTGTCCGTGACAAAGTATGATTGTCTAATATCTCAGGATGAGGAGGCTAATACAAGGCCATAAATCACGGTGAACAGCTTTTCAAATAATAAAGCAGTCTGTCTTCTCACTAATAGGCCCCAAATTAGGATCCCAAAATGCTGAAATCAAGGCTAGCATTCACCTCTGTGTGGGTGGCAATAACTTTTGTGTATTTGTATCCATAGATTGTCTGGGGAGACAGCTGACAGCTCAGCATATTGGAAATACAAAAGATTTTTAGCCTGCTTGTTAGTTAATCGTATGTACAGATTTATGAGAAAACTATGGAATATGTGATGTTTGTGTGTAGTTTAACTAACATCAATTACTTGAACTCATATAACCCGTATAAGTCTAGAATTCAGATTCTGGAAATACTGTTTGTTTTATGGTTAGATTCCCATGTTTCCAGAGAGAGTTTTAAAGCTGGAACTGGTGCTCATGCATGACATCGATGCTGGATATCTCTTTTTCTTCTGAGTCTTCCTTTGTCTTCTGACTCTTTCCTGTTCTTCAAAGCCTCATTGACTTTGAAACTCTAACACATAAAACCTGCTTTTTCATTTGAGAAGCTTGTATGACATATAGGAGCACACATAATCTCTAACAAGATGTTCACTTAAGACTTGCTTCTCATCCCATAGTTAATATTTGACAGAATCCAGACTGGGAACAGCAGACCAAAAAAGTGTGAGAGAAATATGTGAATAACCTATGAAGATTTTTGTTGCATAACTGTGAGGGAGATTAGGCTGTCCCATGCTCTCTGAAAGAATTACATCAATAGGAGAAGAAAATTAATAGCCTTGTTTTAATCAGAATCAAATATCTTGTGTTATGACAATGTGCAAGGGTTTATGCACAGCCAATACACCAAGTTTCCCAATGGAAAGAAGCAGAAAAGGTCCAAATATCGGATCTATGTTTTGTAATTTTTCACTCAGTGGAAATAAATCAACTTGGCAGGAACTATAGAAGCAAAAAGAAAAGTAGAAGAGTTGCTAAGAGGTTGTTAGAATTCTAATAACTATACATGCATTTAGAAAAAAAACCTTAACCAATGTTCTTTATTTCCTAGCAATAGAATATAGGACAGAATATAAGAGTAAACATAAGCAGTTGAAAAATATAATCCAAAATTCCCTCATTTTTAATCTACATATAAACATCTAGTTAAGTGGAAGCATCTTTGCTTTATTTCAATTACAATGGAAGATTGAGAAACAAAATCTTCATTCCGATAGTTTTAATTTTATGCCTCTGTTTGCTTTGGAACTTGGAGTTTGTGAAGATGGAATTAATTATTCTTTCAAATACTTAAAAAAATACTGAAATATAGTGAATTTCTTCTATTTATTTATTTTTTTTTGCTACTGAAAGTTTCTCAAGTTAAGAGTTTGATCTTGAATTTGTTCTCCAGAAATCAGAGAAAATACTAAATACAGCTAAATAAGAATTACAAACTAGAGTAGACAATCTACAGATATCTGAAATTCTAGTACATTCCCACTGCAAAATTAAATATATGAAATGCACTAATTCAAACAAAACCCTAGAATGGAACTGAAACAAATGGTTTCAGTGACTGCTGAACTTTACATCAGTGTTGTCAGTTAACATGCAGAACCTCTGACATCTGTCACTTGATTACCTGAACAGTATCTGACTTTTCTTACAATAGTTATTATTACCTTAGCAAGTAACTGTGTATGATTAATATGAGTTGGGATAATTTGATGGGCTACTCAGTGGGAGAATAGAACTCAATTCTCCTTCAAGCTCTGCTGCTGTTTAACTGCTCTGCTTTTAGTACACTTGGTGCATGTAAAATAGAATTATTTTCATCAGATTTTGAGATATGGGGTGGAAAAGCATGGTACGAAGAATTATTCATACCAGAAGGTAAATAAGACTAGACGAGCATTTGTATACCTCCCAAAGTCTCCTCACACCATCTTAGTTCTTCATGGAGCCACCTTAACTTTTCCTACATATATCTCTCAATTTAAACATAATTAAAATACACTTGTAACGATTGGGATAATTTAAATAAAAGAACACTTGGTTTTGGCAAAAAAAGAATGGAAGTGAGAACTTAAGATCAGAGCTCTCAAGTCAAATTTGCTTTGCTCTTCAGTCTTTGTTCCTTTATTCTTGAAAAAAACAAAAATGAAATTTGTACATATCTTTTTATCTGTCTCTTGATTATCTTCTGTTATAGAAAATTAAAACATAAATTTGATCATTACATAGCATTTCCAGTGCTTGAAAAACTATTTTTCATGCACTTTCCATCCTTGAAAACACTGCCAGCCTTTGGTCCCTCTTTCATGACAAGAACATGAAAACTAACTGTGCAAAATTAAAATCTTTTTTCACCATACATCTAGAATAGTCTCATGGAAAAGTACACTTAAAATAAGAACTTTACACTGAAACTGATTCAAATAAATCAATTATTCAGTTGAGCTAAAATTTGTATTTCTCGGAAAAAGTAGCCCTTGAGAACCTCAAACATTATAACTCTCTTATAAAACAGAAAATGCCTATTGATTGTCTTGATCGCCAGTGTTCTTTCATTGATTAAGAGGAAGGGAAGACTTTTTTTATATATATATGTGGTTCATATAGGCAGTGAAGGGAAATTTTTTTTTGTATGACATTTAAGTGTCCCTCTCTTATCCTTGTCCTGTATGACAGTATTGTTCTCTTATGAGTTGCACAAGGTGATTAAGACAAAATGCTATTGATTCACTGCAAGTTAATCCTCCTACAAGGGACAATTTATGTACAACAACCCAAATATTCTCTTTAATGTTACTCTTCCGCTGGTTTGCCTTCAGTTTTAAAATGATTCTCCAACAGAGAAATCTCAGATGTGGGTTGTTCTGAAAACCTCTTCCTCTTGCAACTAATACACTTTGCAGGGTGCAGACTATATTTCTGTATGAAGTTCTGTGCTCTACATGGGGTAAAATAGTTTCAAGGCTTGATCAATATTGACTGGCTAATTTGAGGTAAAATTGCATGGACCTCAAACTCTCACCTCAGAACCACATTAGGTTTGGTATGTGGAGTTGAATGAATCTTATTTCAAACTGACAAATCCACTTACAAATTTTAAATATTTTACCTAATAAGAGCATTTGAGTAAAAAAACAACAAAAAAACCAACCAAAAAACCCCACACACCTAAAAAACCAAAACATTTCAAACTACAGAAACTGGAGATAAGAAATTTAGAATGGAGCTTTCTGTGAGCCATCAACACAGGTAATCTGTGTGAAAATTGAGTGTCAGATACCTGCTTTCAGGAAATCCCACATCTAAAATTTACTTAAGTTCATTTTTTCAACGGCTAGCACATGAAATCCCTATTCTAGTCTCTCTGAGAATGCACATATTTGGTGTAGGAGACAAGCAGGACAAACTAGCTTTACCAGAAGCAGCTCCACTGAATGCATATGTGAAACAAATACTGCTAAGGCAAAAATTACTTTGTATTCTAATCATGATAATATTTCCTGTTGTCAGTTGTACAGAAACAGTGCATCAAACATCCAAATGAGTTGAGATGTGTTTTGCTGATTACTGCAGCAGATGGTACATTTCAATTACGGAAAAATATTTTCTGTTGGCTTATTATACTTTGAAATTGAATTCAGTTTAAGTGGAAGATCAAACATAACAAAACAAAGGATTTTCTTCTGGCTCTTTTATCATCAGGCTGGGTATTGCAGTAAATAGTAATGTATTACATTAAGTAGTAACCATGAATGTCGAACAAAGCTGCTTCTTCTGTTTATTTTTTTTCCCACCATAATATCAATATGATGATGTAACAAAATATGTTAAGAACTGGAACCTGGTAGCTGAAATTAATTTAGTTTTATTTGCAAAGAAGTTACCTGGGATGTGAAGGGATGAGGGAAAATACATCAATTGTGCAAGAGAAGCAGCAGGCTGTTCAGGAGGTGACAGTATCTATCACTACATGTATGGCAACAGGTTGTAGAAGGGATTATCTGACTGTGAGCATCACCAGCTGCATTTTGGTTTGCCTCTAATTTTGAGAAATACCTTGTTGGTATCGCAAAACAACTTAGCTCACTACCTGATCTGGCAGGCACACTATTGTGAAAAGAAGAGTAATCAAACATAAAAATATTAACTTCTGTTGTGTTTGCTTATTTTGCAAAATAGATAGTATCAGGACTTCAAAACTGTATTGAGGAGGTGTGTTTATTTCTATTGTCTTCAATCCAGAGGTGCTGTCATGTAGAATACAGTTTTTTATAAATTGCACTAAAATCTGTAGATAAAACGATGTAAAGTGAAGCAGTATTTTATTGTAAACTAGAGGCCAGCTGAGAAAACAGAATAGTAGGATTTAACTTGGCTAAGCCCTCTCAGGCAGGTAACTTGAGGATATAATGGTAAGTGCTACAATTTACACTGATTATACATCAATTATTTGGGTAGCCTTAGAATTACAAGAAAAGGGATTAAATAATCTTTGATTTCTCAGCTCCTACTGAAGAAGCAGAAACAGAAAAGTGTTTGTGTTACTAAGGTTGTGATGTTTCCTTGGAGAAACATACTTTCTTGACACTCCTTTCATTCGGAAGAGATGCTTAATTAGAGGCAGTAGTGCTTGCATTTTGCTGCTTGGAAAGCTATTCTGTTGTATTCTGAAAAAAAAAGCAAAGCAGTTTGAGGGATTCTAAATTAAATAGGTCACATTTATTCCTGTTGCAACCTCTTTGTCAATGGCTAATGAATTGCATAAAAAATGAGTTTTACCTTACATTTAAGATGAAGCTGACCTTCTTTCAAATAACCACAAATGGGCAAAAGTGGTTTTCTTAGTCATTTTCTACATGAATGCTAAGTGTTTAGCATGATGCTTCATTTATCATTCTAAATATTTAATTGAAAGGCAGGTCTTGATATTTTAAACTACCTGTTGCTATCTGCCAGATACATTTGCTATTTGTGTTTCTGCCAGGTACATTTGGAACAGGCAGTTCTTGGTTTTGGCCAAAGTATTTTCACTGAAATCTGTATCAGGTGTTTTGTTCTTTTTTTTCTGTATCAGGATGTTTTCCATTATCAGGCATATTGCACAGAATAATTTTAAACAATTATTGACCTCTACCAGGTTTGGGAACATAGCATAGCTTCCTACAGCAGCTCCAGGCAACCATGAAAGTGACAAATTGTTCTCCATCTACTGTTCCTGGCTGTGAAACATAGTAATCTGAAGACTTCAGATATTTGCTTCTTTAATTATTTTTGGAGCTGTACAAAATAATTAAAAATTAGAATATAGTTGAAACAAACCATGAATATTTTGGTTCAGTCCATTCAGCTGAAATTCCTTTGAAGTTTCAGACTATCCCACTGTACTTTGTTGAGTAAAAATATTGACATGTATCTGCAAGTGTTTAGCAGTTATAAGAACTGGCTTTGGGGACACTGGCTTTATTCCTGGAAAATTAACTTTTTTATTCAGCAGGATTACTGCAAAATATGGATATTTTGATGATGGCTAAAAAGCTTTAGTTCAGTAAAGTTAAAATGTTGTATGCTGTTTTTCTGCTAACATCTGTGTATTAGTTGGTAGGCAAAAGGCACAAGGTTCTTGCTATTTAACCATCCATTCTAGCTCTTATTACTGGAAAACATTTTTGATTCTTCAAATAAAGACATCAGTCCTTGGATAAGCTGTAGAAACTAAGTTACTTCTGTACTAGAGCTGAATTTCCTATGTCAAGTTCGTGGTATGTTGGCATATCTAAATGACTTAGTTGTTCCTTGGAGGAGAACGCAATTCTTCATACTTTGACAGCCTTACACTAATATTTATCAGAGGGCTCTAGGCACTTGGACAACTGTTTTCCTTGTTCAACATTAATGATAATGAATGCTAACTACAATTAGAGTAAATCCATTATTGTCTTAGGGTAAAAAGTAATAAGAAGCTAAAATGTAGTGACATTTTGCTTCTGTGGAAATGGTTGAATTCACAAGCATGCTTCAGTTCAGGAAAAAGTGATTATGAAAGTCATTATCGGTCAGGACAGCAGCCAGTGCTTTCCCCCAGCCATTTCCTTTGCCAGTGGACTTCTTTCATCTCCTTCCTACCTACTGGCACTTCTGTCCCGGTTCCTTTTTTTTTGTTTTCTTTTTTAAAGGCACTGGTTTGTGGTGTTGTACTTAAAGAATGTGTCAGGAAATGCAAAATCTAAAACGTAAAAGTGTAAGTGGTGGTGTTAATTTGCCCAAGCTACCTCTATTTTTATACATTAAATCAGTTATCTATTACTGAAGAAGAAGGTTTAGAAAATATCAGTACAAAATAACATTAGATGAAATTGCTTCATGTTCAGTTTTATTTTTAATTTGAGCAATTGCAACTTTGCTCTTTCATATTTTACTTATAACTTCCCTAATAGTTAAAGGACTTTCCTTCATTTCACTCAATTGCTCCCAGTTTAAATGGTGTCAGCTAAGCCAGAGAACTCGAATGTCCTTTACGATGTCCTATATTTTGGCCTTGATTAGTGGTGTTGCTTACACTGTCAATTATTAGTAGATACTGCTGCTGCTCTGCCCTTTGATCCTTTCAGCCCTTCATTCTGCCATGCCTGGTGAATAATGATGATAGGAGAGAGCAAGGTCTGCGTTGTTCAAGAATTGCAGGCCACTTCAAATGCATTACTTCTTCAGCAATGCTCTCTGATATTTATGAATGTAAAGCCCAATTCAAAAGTAGTGTAATGTCAAATGAATACAAATCCAGACATACAATGGCGTTTGGAGCAGGCCTTTGTCTTTTGTTTTCCAAAGGAAAAAATAATGGTCAGTAGCTTTTAACTGTATACAATGACACTTAATACTGCAGGACTGGAAGCAAAGAATAGTCTGTGTCTTCCAGCTTTACTCAGCCACCTACTGAGTTCTTTCAGTGATCCATGAAGATGGATACTGGTCAATGAACTGTGTCAGAAAGAAGGACAAAAACAGAGAGATAGGTCTTAATTACTGTCGGATTTAGGGTTAGGCATGGTTAGAATTACATTTCTGGCTCCTGTTTTGCTCTTCAGATGTTTGTCTGACAGAATTATTGTGAGTGTGTTTCTAATTTAAAAGAAGGGGGGAAAAAGTCACTGGTACACTAATAGCCAGCAACAGCAGTAAGCTTACTTGTCCTCAGAGGGAGAAATTTGGCCCACGTCTGTTCTGCAATTTTCCAAATGCTTGCTGGCTGCCAGCCTGCCTTGCCTCTGAGGCTGCAGCTAGGACAGCCAGCATGCAGCCTCGGCTTGAACTCTCCAAAATACAGAGCAAGAAATGAGTTTGTGCAGGTCCGTCGAAGAAACATAGCAAATGTGACATCAGTATCCTACTGATGATATTCAGGGTCTCATCATGTATCGTGTACATATCGTCTGGTAGGTGAGCAATCCCATCCATTCAAAATAATTATAATGCCACCTTTTATCCCAAAGTTCAGTTAAAGATTAAGCTTAAAATTTTAAATATATTTATATTATTATATGCTTTTTTCCATTATACATTTTGCCATTGCTATATAAGGTTATATATTTAGACTCTATTTGAGGCAGTTTTACCTATCCTTAAAACTAGTTGATTATAAATTCACCCAAGCCTAATTAACCAAATTGGCTCTAGCTGCTGCTGTAATAATTTGATGTTTGTAATTACATAAGGTCTTTAATACCAGAGATTATTAAATGTAAAAATTTATATTTCAGTGTGTGTGTACAGAGAGAGCAGGAAGTACAGAAAGTGAGTTGATATTTAAATCTGTGTGTTTGTATAGAGGGAGCAGAAAGTACAGAAGGTAAAAGAGCTGGAAACTGTTCAGATACTTGCATATGCTTTCTGTTTCCTCTCTGCTGCATAAATGCTTCCAACTACTAAGAGAGTTAATGTTAGCTAAATTAAAATATGTTTGTATTCCAGTAAAGTAGTAGAATTAGTATGGGAGAAAGAAGAGTAAGAATGAAGAAAGCGTATGTTTAGGCAATGGTGTTAGCAGAAAGAGACCTTAAATAAGCTTTCATTTAATTCTCTTCATTGAAAATTTGTAATCAGATTTCTCTTGTAAAGGTGGCTGAGCTAAATATTTCCTAATGTCTTCATCTGTCATTGTCTCAGATTTCCACTGCAAGAGCATTATTGTGTTGGCTTAATGCAAGCATTGTGCTTTTTTCTTCATTGTGGGAACTAACTAAAACTGCAGAGCCTTTTGACCCTGGAGGTGTTTTAGGTAGACTCAACTCGTTTTTTTTGTGGCAGGTAAATGAAACCGTCAGCTTTCTCATTGTCGCTTTTATTTATAACCCTTTTTTAGGCAATTGCAATGATGCTTGTTCTTTCTTTACTTTCATAGTCCTATATACTGTATGAAATTGTTATTTAATACTCTAAGTCTAATGGGAAATAAGGTAAAGAGTTGGAAAAAAGTCATAGAAAGAGTTATACTGAAAAATATTGATGGCTAAGTATCCTGTTTGCAGCATTAAAACTAGACAAAGCAAGCTTGCAATGCACCTGGCCTGTTGAGCAAAGATCCCTTCCCTTTCCAGCTGGTTCAGACTTATTCCAAATTTTTGTCTATTGGTCTTCTGTGTGGTTGTTACTGAGCAACAATAAGTGCATACAGTTTTTGCTAGTGTTTTTTCCCCTAATACTTCCTTTGTCTTGACTCACACCAGATATATGAGAAGAAAACAATATAAAAGCAGGGAACCTATAATAGAAGATAGCTTTCTAATTCATTTTGAAGTAGAAAACCTTTACAAACTTGAGTGTCCATGTAGTACTGTTTACACTGTTTACAGTGTTCACAATTTACAGGAATAAATAATTCACCACTATCTGTAGTTTATAATCTCTAAGAATAAGTGAGAAAACAAAAAGAGATTAAACATCTGAAAAACCTCATAGATTTCATAATATTTTTTGATCTTTAGTTAGCATGTTTGAAAGTTTTATTGCTTAAAAATGTCAACATCCATGATAGGTTATTATGTCGGTTACTGTTCCAATGACATTACCTAAGCTGGAAAAGAAAAAATAGAAATGAAAAATTAAATATTTTTTTTTTCTGCTTCAAAACAGTGTATCTCAACCTGTGCCCTGTTCTGCTTATGCCAAGAATATGTCAGAAATTAGACAAATATTGTGATAGAACATGATTTGAATTTGTATTTGAATGAGTATTGGCAAAGAACATACAAAAATACAGAATTTATTTCAAAAATCTCCTCAAATCTAGTTCCATTAAACGGCACTTGCAGTAGATCTGTTCTGAGAGAGTTTCTGTTAAGTATGTGTTTGTGTGCTGGATTTCTTGTCTTCTGCCAAGACCCGTGTATACACTTAATACATGGCTAATAGTTTTGACTGTTTATACAGTGTATATTCATGCAGCATGCTACAGCTCTTTTGTATTCCTGTTATGCTGACAATGGTAGGAAAGCTCAGAATGACTAAAGACTGAATTATCAGCCAGTTCCTTTTATTCCATGGTCATCCAGTGAAAAGGCTGTTGTAATCTGAATTATTTCCATAATGTAGAAGAAATTGGTTTAAAGCAGAAAACTGAGAAACCAGAATCCTGATAAAGCAGCTGTGGAATATTTTTCTTTTGCGGGGGGGGAACCCACTCTATGAGCCACCTGTCTACCTCCCCCCTTGTATGGGAATCTCAGCATTAAAAAATTTGATGCAGTCTCAAAGGACAACAGAAAAATGTAGCACCATGGTTTATTTATGGGATCTCTGTGTTTAAAGCTTGGCCAATTGGGAGAGCACTAAGAACATAATTGCTAATCACTATTTGTGAAGGATCAACATTAAAATTTTAGAATAATTTATCTTCTTGCAAAAGCACAAGAGGTGGTTACCTAGAATAATGCATTGCCATTGAGAAAAGGAGAAATTTAGGCTGAACACCAAGAAAAGTTTCCTGACAGGAAGCTTTGTTAGACAGTGGAACTAAGTATTAAGAGAAAAGACGGACACTCTCTAGGTTCAGACATTTAAAAGAAACTGAGAAAAATGTCAGGAAAATGTACTCTAGGGAACCATGTACAGCTCTTACACAACTGGATATTAACCTAATATATCTCTTTCATTTCCACCTTTTATAATTCCACGGTTCATTAGCCAGCACCCTCTTTCCTCTGCCCTCTGGAACCTCCAGGACAGCTTTCAGACAATTTGTAACACAATTCTAACAAAGCATGTGGAACTTCTGTGGCAGAATAGTATCCACCAGCCTTCCTTATGAGGCCACTTATCTACCTAGACTTCTGCTGTTTCTGTTGTTTTCCTTTTCTAAGGCTCTGACAAAGGAGTAATTACTTTCAGTCCCAGAAACACTGTTAACAAATATTTTTTTCTTTCTCAAAATAGGGAAATTCAACACAATTTGGAATAATACTAGAATATACTGTGGTTGGGCTTTTAGAAGAGAAATGTGTGTGTTCTTTCTGCTTTCAGGCATTTTAAGCTGTTTAGCAGATGACTTGTTTCATGAGAATGTGAAACAAGAAAAAGACTTGTAACCTCTGTCAAAAAATTCTGAAAAAGGGACACTAATTCTTAGAAATGTTGCATTTTTTAAAAAGTTTTCATGAGTCCCTTGCTCAAAGATGAGTTGCCAGCAGAATTCACAAGCTCAAAGCCCGTTCTGAGGCTC